CTCACCTTATACCTGGTGGCCGGACCTTGTCTTTGGTCTCTGTAAGTTATCAGCAGGCCTTGACTCCTGGAATATCCCTATCTTAGAGACACAGGGGCAGGGATTACCCAAATGTCAGGGAAGAGGGACTTTGGAATCTAAACCATGTCCCAGAAGCAGCCTTAGAGGATAGGGCTTAGGGTGTGGACACCTGAAGTTGAGAAGTGTCCTGTGAGAAACCCCCATATATGTGTGCCCCTGAGATGGGAGAAGCCGGCAGCAGGCCCATCAGTGTGTGTGGGTGGGTGGGGGGCAACTACTTTTTCTGTGCTACTTAAGGGTGTGGAACATTGGGAAACACATACTGGAGACCATTAAGGAGGTGGGAGGAAGATAGTTAAGGAATCAATGACAAAGATGCAGGAGGGACTAGCCAAGAGAGAGAGGGAGCAAGCCCAAAGACAGTTTGAGTCTTGGTTTAACAACTAACTCCCCTTGGTTTACTACTTTGATTTCTACATTGTTAGAACCCCTGATCATTTTGTTCCTGCCTCTGACTTTTGGCCCCTGCATTTTGGATCACGTAGTTGCTTTTATAAAAGATCTCATAGGTGCAGTACGGTTGATGGTCCTGAGACAAAAATATCAAGAGCACAGCACAAAGGACCAGGGCTATGAGCTGCTTAACTATTCACAATAGCTTCAAGATTGAAGCATGCACAAAGAAAAGACAACTTCCTAGAAGCTCTTCTCATTGTTACAGAAAAGGCACCTTTAGCAATTCAGTTTCCACATACCAAAACTTATTATCTGACTTATCGGTTGTCTTGAAAGGCCCAACATGTAAGCAAGTCTCATCATCCAAGTAACACTCAACCATATGAGACTTCCTGATTTGCCAGGCATGTCTGGAGACTGTTGGGCCCCTCTTTTCTCCTCCCCATCCATGCCAGTGGTGCGTGGAAGGCAGGGGCAAGTGTGGTCCCCACTGACACATCAGGCACTCTGCTGCTGCCCCCACAAGGCTCACTCTGTTCACATGTTCCACTCAACCCCCTTCCCCGTGCTGGAGAGGGTGGCTGGTCCATTGTGGTGCGGTGCATGACCTTCCTGTCCAGTGTATGTTGGGCCTCATTTCAACCCTGGTTTGGGCCTTGTGGACAGACCCGAGCCTGGCTCTGGTTTCTGCAGCCTTGTGGGAGAGTCTAAGCCTGGCTGGAGTTTGAGACCTGTCTTAGTCACTTCCGTACCAGAGTGACTCAACAGGACCTGTTTGGCCCTGCCTCTGCTCAGCTGAGGCTGGTGGAGAGCTTTTCAAATGGCCCTGTCAGTCACCCCATACCCTCCATCACCCTCCCTCAACCCCTATATCATCTCACCCCACCAAAACTCTTCCTCCCTATGCTCTGAGTTTATATAAACAAGAGGTTGTTACATTAAAGTTGAGTTTCTGCTTCAACTCCCCGCTGGGTGTGTTTCTTTGGGCCTTCGGCACACCATCCCACTCAGCCTCGGAGAGACCCTGCGGGACTAGGACTTCTCTCTCCTCTCACCTAGACCTGCCGGCTTTAAGGAGCCAACATGGAAACCAAGATATGCAGAGGCTTGGAGAATCCTTCTAAAGAATAATCCCATAAAATCTCAGATAACAATTGAAGAAGAAATTTTAAGTTAGCTTAAAAATAATATAGCAGAAAGCCTTGATTCATAAGCACAAGTAGTTAAGAATGCAGATTTGCTAGCCCAAGGCCATCACAAAGAATGTAGAGCTGGAGAAACAAAGGTCAATTGAGTGTTCCGGGAGTTGGCTGACTGTAAAGGATAGAGAGGATGTACAAAGACAAATTTCTGAAAACAAGTGAATGATGAGTTATCTATCTGTTCCCATGATGTTTGACTTAACTTTTTCTGAACCTCCCCCACGCCTTGGGGCCCACCAAATGTTTCAGGGACTTGCGGTCTAAAATTAATCAGATAGTTTGTTGACTCAGATAAGCATCCGCCCCTGGGTTTTGAGAGAACGGGAACCCAAGGTTGTTCCTGTGAGATCTTTTCCTGGAGCTGCTTGTGTAATCTGCTGATGTTCAAATTTATGAAACAGCCAATCGTGTGTAAGCGTGTCAAGACTTTCCGCTCTCCCCGACCCTTGTCTATATAAACTCTAAGCTTCTGGGCCTCAGAGTCGGCTCCTCTGTCTCCTGTGTGTGATACATGTCAACCCGGAGCTCCGTCAGTAAACTGCCTCGTGTGATTACAGCAAGATGGTCGTACGTGTGTCCTTGGGTGTGCGCCATCCCGAGACTTGAGTGGGAGTCTCTCTTCGGGAGTCTTTCACAATCACTGACCAAAGGTTACCTCAAAGCTTAGATGTCATCACTCCAGATTCATGCTAGACACAATGGTTCAGCTAGTATTCTGCTACAATCACTGTCCCACAGAAAGCATGTAGTTTGTATTTACATTTATAACATCCAATCCATCCAAACAGGAAACTCGAGTCACTCTAGACTCCTCTTGTTCACATAGCCATAATTAGCCAGTTGACACTCTTTCTGGATTCCGTGTCATTGTCATTTTGATTGTTTCTTCTCTTGTCACACTGCCACATTATCAGCCACTGACAAATTTAAAAAAAAAAAAAGGACATATAACTTCATTTTGGCTTTCTGATTATATCATGTACAGAGCAAAAGGTAAGTATACCGCAAAGCCCCGAGATAAGCCTGGAGAAGCCACGGCAAGTAAAACACAAAACTCAGCTCTCTGAAGAGAGAAGATACTTGGCTGTTCTCCTGGAGGCTGAAATGTAGTTTACAACCTGGTAATTTTTTGCTCTGTTGAGCCAAGCTCCTCCCATATCCTTCAATATTTTTGTTTTTCCTAGGCTTCCCCTCTTCAAACCTTGAACGTTGTTTCTAGGCCATAAAACTCATCCTTATGAATGATGTCATTTGTCCTTTACAATAGCCTAAGTGACTTCTATGTTATCTGAGGATCAGGTCAAATTCTGACTCCCACAGGCATTCTGTTTACCTTAGTCATTCTTCCTAGACCATTAACTTGAGCATTGCTTTTAACTCAACAGAACTCTTCTTTATGGAAGAAGTCATGTGTACTTTGTAAGAGCTTTGATGTATACATGTTGTACTCACAAGACTGAGATAATTGTTATCAAAAAATTGTTTTTAAAAATTGTGTGGCCCTTAAATATGGTTACACTAAGAACTGATGTCAGACTTTCAAAGATTGGTCCAGAATTGTTGTCTAAGTTAGAATGAAGCAAGGTTCATTCTTGTCTCTTCTTGGACCAAACAGTCCCTGGATCCAGAAAGCCTACAGGGATAAATATCTGGCTCATATTTAGGACTGAGTCAATATCCTTAATAAATCTACTACTATCATGATGTACAAATTATTCCTGTGGTGGTTCTAAGTAGGGTTTGAGTTGCAAAGGTTTTATTAATTTGTGAATTCCTATGTCTGTTAGTGTCTTAGAGTTTTTATTGCTGTGATGAAATACCAAGACCAAAGCAACATGGAGAGGAAAGGATTTATTTGGCTTACATGTTGTCTTAGTTAGGGTTTGTGTTGCTATGCAGACGCACCATGACCAAAGCAAGGCTTATAGAGACAACATTTAATTGGGATTTACTTATAGGTGCAGAGGTTCAGCCCATTATCAAAGCAGCATGGCATCATCCAGGCACACATAGTGCAGGAGTAGCTGAGAATTCTATATTTTCATGTGAATGCCATTTGGAAAAGACTGGCTGCCAGGCAGCTCTGAAGAGAGTCTTAGAATCCATGCCCACAGTGACACACTTCCTCCAAAAAGGCTGCACCTACACCAACAAAGTCACACCTCCAAATAGTGTCACTCCCTGGGGTAAGTATATTCAAACTAGCACACACGGCCTTATCACTATTGATCACCAAAAATAGTCAGGACAGGAACTCAAACAAGGCAGGGACCTGGAGGCAGGAGCGCATACAGAGGCCATGGAGGGGTGCTGCTTGCTCAGCCTACTTTCATATAGAACTTAGGACCATTAGCCCAGGGATGATACCAACCACAATGGTTGGATCTTCCCCCATCAATCACTAATTAAGAAAATGCCCTACAGGCATATCTATGGCCCAGTCTTATAGAGGCATTTCCTTAATTGAGAGTCCCTCCACTTAGATGACTTTAGTTTGTGTCAAGTTCACATAAAACTGTCCAGCACAATTAGTGTTCAATCCACCTGTATTTAAATTTGCATGACCCTCAGTGAAGACACAAAGACATGTATACAATCCCTAAATATTATAGATTATATTTAAGTCACATTGTCAACTGTTACTTAACAATAGTTTAATGACTATTAGCTGAGAAGTCAAAACAGCATTCTATGGCCTTAAAATATGCACAGTTTATCTGCTACCCAGTAGCAACTAACCTACATTTTAGAAGAGAAAGTCATTCAGGGATTTGATTAAGAGTCAGAGGTAGAGTACCTTAACCTAAAACATCCAAGAAACTCATACTATGAAATAGAATCATCTCCATAGCTCTTACAACAGCAAAGACCAAAAATTCCCTACATCTTCCTTATTTGGCATTTTGCTAATAGTGATCCTAAAGGCCTTCTATATCCCGAATCTCTCATTACCAGATAAGGACACTGTGGCCTGATGAAAGTAGGTGACTTGGTCAAGTTAAAGGGAGGTTAAAACTGGGTTGAACCAGATTTTTCGCCTGTCCAGTTAATCACTATCACATCATGCATCCACTGTGAACTCTGGGATGCCCAAATCAGATTTCCCAGTGTGACACACAGAGCTTCATCAGTTATGTCTGCGCTACTCAAATCTGAAGCTTACTTAAACCTAAATCAAATGTTCTTCACTTTCATATGGTTACTCACTATGGTTTTATTACCTGCTATGCTATATTGTACTTCAGCTAAAAGGTTACCCCATTAGCTATGTTTACAAAGTATCTACATCAATGTGTCATCTGACTAGTATCAAAAGACCAATCAAAATGAAGGAGTTGGTGGAAACTTTTCTCACGTGTGAGTCCTCTGATGTCTTGTAAGGTTTGTACTCCTACTGAAGGATTTCCCACATTCGTTACACTGATAGGGTTTCTCTCCCGTATGTATCCTCTGGTGGACTATAAGGGATGAATTCTTAATGAAAGCTTTCTCACACTGATCACATTCATAGGACTTTTCACCAGTATGAATTCTTTGATGTTCAATAAGATAGGCACTTT